GCTTAGGCTTTAGGGCTTAGGGTTTTTTGCTGCTTCATGTGGCCTACGGCTCCTACTCACTCCTCCTCGCCGCTTCGACCCTGAATCACCCCCGGAAGCATCCTTGACTTCGATGCCCGGATCCGATCATCCCCTCAACAACCCCAATTAAGCCTCCAAAACTGCTGCGGCCTTGAGAAGCGAGAGGCCAAAACCGTCCTGAACCTGTCTCGACTCCAAGTCCCTGAGCATCTACAAGTTCCTAGCACCCTCGCGGCCTCCCAGACCTGGCGGCTCGCATTGTTGTCGGTGAGCGCCTTCAAGTTCGGGGGGGTAGGGAGATGGGCGCTTGCAGATGGAATCACGCTCGAATGGTGTAAGAAGGGATTTAGGGTAAAGGGTTCAGGACTGAGGGTGGATGCCTGCACCCACCCATACCCACGCTGCATCAGAATGCTGGGTCGACAGAATCCTTCGTTTGAACGCTGCGAGATGCGCATCACATCGCCTGGATTCCTGCAAGGTAGGCATGTCAGGCCAAACGACACGGCTCGCAATCTGCACTGTCGCATGCTGCAAATTCTCCCCGCACACACACACACACACAGAGACAGACACAGACAGGCAGGCAGGCAAGCAAGCAAGCAAGCAAAGAAACGAGGGAGAGAGAGAGGGAGAGAGAAAGAGAGAGAGAGAGAGAGAGAGAGAGAGAGAGAGAGAGAGGGTGTCGAGAAGTGCTTCACCTGCCTTGGAATCCAGGGCCTCACCGCGGAAGGCTGCCCCGAAGGGCGCCAGCCTCTTCGGCTCTTCGGTGCTTCTTGGGCTTCTTCGGTGCTTCTTCTGCAAACCCTACAAACCCTACAAACCCTGCAAACCCTACAAACCCTACAAACCCCTACAAACCCCCATGAACCCCTATACTCCACGTACCCGAGGCCAGGGCAGGCTGCTTCTGTAGTAGTTGGGGCCCAGCCTGAGACCCGGGACGAATGCTTTGGTCCCCGTTCAATTCTGAATGGACTTCCCCCCCCAAAGAATGAAACGAGGTACCTAAGGTACAAATAGTAAAAAGCAAGATGTCCCAATGTCCTACCTAGGCAGATGTCCTAGGCGAGGCAAGGGACCCGCTTGGAGAGTTGGCTAAGGGGCGGGAATTCAGGGGGGGCAGCTTCCTGCGCCCTCGGAAAGCTGGAGAACCCAAGTTCTAAACGGAGCTGCTCTTCTCCCGGCACTTTGGGTGCCCTGCATGACTGGCTCGTAGACAGAGCGGACGTAGACCTGAAGAATACGACCAACCCAGAAAGGTAGCCGAGCTCCGAAACGCAGATGCCTACCGTCGTGCACTGGAGGACCCGCGCCGAACCCCCTCAAGGCGCCCTAAGCGCCCAGCCCGATCAAGGCAAACTAAGCGCAAAAGCAGCTCAGAAAGACTCGGGCTTTTTGTTGACCCTCCATTCCTGGAATTCTTTGAAGCACGTCACGCAGACCAACACAAGGCGGCCCTGCAGAAAAATGCAAACCCTAACCTGGGGCTTCTCGGGGTCCCGGACGGTAGGCAAACCAACAGGTTTCGGGTTGAGGCCTTAGGGGAAATCATCAAATCATCAAAGCCTGCCCAAACCCAAAAAACGTCCCATAAAACCCACCTTGAAGAGAAACTAGGTGTCCGCGCCAGCAAGGTGAAGAGGACGAGGGACAGTGCCAGCCTGGGGTTCGGGGAGAGGGTGGCTGCCATCCTTCCGGCGGGGTTTTCGGGTTTCTGAGTTTCGGCCTCTCGGGTTTATACAGGCGGGCTATCAAAGCTCGGTCCGACCCGGCAACACACTTGACAATCTTAAGTCCCACCCAAGGCATCTCAGGATGTCCCTTCCTGCCATCCACTGCCTCAGTGCATCTACGGCTTACCCTCCCGCAGCCCTTCTCACGAACCCTGATCTGAACCGGTGTCTGGTCTCGGGGCGTTAAGCTTGTTCGAGTTTGGGTGCTGAGGTTTTCAAAAGGTTCCAGCTTGCTGCGCAGGATAAGCTCGGCACTCGAAGAACGTCGCACATGGCCGACGGCTTTTGACCAGGATGTTTTTCCCTGTCACGTTCGGTCACAGCTTTGGCATTCAGGGGCTGGGGGCAGACAGCAAGACTCGGAGGTAACATAGGACAAGGAGTTCCTTGTCCTGTGTCGGCAGCCCCCTCACCCTCAAACCTAACACCGCAAACCCCAGGCCGAAAACCCTGCACCTTTGCTACCTTCAACCCTGAAACAGACCAACCCTACAAATCACCGCCGGGTTGAGGGGAGGGTGGGGGAAGAACCCTGAGGAGAAGACTATATAGGGGCAGTCCTGTGGATGTTGCTATTGACAAGCAGACCATAGTTTTGCACTAGTACTGGTCTAGTAGCCGAAGGTTTGGGCTGAATCCTGCACCCCGTGCACCAGAATCGTCGCGGAAGCCGAATCGCTTAAACCCATGCCTACAAGCTGATGTGCCCCAAGGCATGTTCAGGAAAAATCCAAGGCTTCAAGGCTTCAATAACCCCGCGCAAAATCATAGCGCTGGCCTGTGAACAATCTGTGTAGAGCTTGTTTCGGATAGGTTGTCGAAGCGTTCGGGCTGAGGGTGGAGGATTCGTGGAGGATTCGTTACGCCGTGCAGGAGCGACAAGAAACTTGACACAGGCCGACTACCACAGCAGATGCCGCAGCCTTCCTAGACTGGCCCCTCACTGACAACCCCAACACAAGATCCTCCTAAACCCAATAGTGAAGAATTCGTACGGTTCGCAGAGCCAACCGGCCAGGGCGGCTGAACAGCGAAGTGAACCTGGGACTTGAGGCAACAAAAAATCTCCAGAAGGAGTCCACTGCACATGCCTCAGCCAAGAATATCACCTTCTCAGAGCCCCCCGAGCCAAAGCCAACCCTTCAGATCCCCGCGCACAAAGCAGGGAAAAGCGCAAACCCCACATCACCTGAAAAGAAGCCCTGCAAGCTACACTACCAGCCCCAAGCTCGGAACACCCCTAACCCCTAAACTAAACCCGAAACCCGAAGCCCCAACCCCTTAAAACCCTAAACTCCCCTTGCAGCTTTTGGGCACCCGGCTGCCGGAAACCGTCCGTCACCATTCTCTCTGAAGCTGCGCGAGCAAGCGGAGCGCCGCCGCGCGAAAATCGGAGTCACGAAGAAGGGCGGCAGTGGGCCGCGATCGGCCTGTGGTGTCCCAGAGCTGCCCTCTTACTGTCGAAGAGCACTTAGTGTGCAACAGGGCCGCTACGTTAAAGCCGTTTCTCCACATGTCAAACTTGAAGACAAGAGAGTCGGTGCGGGGGAAAGCCTTCGGTCAGTGTGCATTGTGGACGTCGCTCGGGAACTTTGGTTTCTTTCGTGTTGCGTTTTGGGTCTTCGGAGTCTTAGGACTTCCCGAACTTTGTCCAAAGCGATGTGAGAAAATGCACACTTCCCGAGAGATCTCGAGACGTGAGTACCTTGCCAACTTTGTGATCAAGACTTGATGCCTGTGCGAAAACATACTTGCAGCTTCAGATATTCCACTTGTGTTGTGAAGCTCTGTGACCTCAGTTACTTATGTCAGCTTGTTTGTGTATTTGTTTGTGGCGATTAGGCTGTTTAGGTTTTTAAGCCAGGCTCCTTGGTTCCGAGTCCTGCTTCGGGCAGCGCAGGGTGGGAGAGTTCGGATTCGGAAGCCTTTCTCTGGGGCTTTGCGGCACGGCTTCCCGGACCCGAACTCCTGAACGGTCCTAAACCTTCTGCTGCAACTGTCAAACCTTGGGATGTTCCCCCTTATGCTTACAGCCCTTAACAGGAGCGTTTTGTCCCCCCAAGTATCTAATCCCTATTCAGGACTGCTTGTATAAGGGGAACATCCCAAGCCAAACCCTGTCACGTTAGCCCTTGCTTCGACAAAAAGCAGTGAAGGCCCCGAGGCCCCCTGAGGCCCACACCACAGCAACGGGCACGCTGGGAAACTAGACCCTGGGCCGCCTATACGCCCTACGGCTTTTTTGGAACACTCTGAAGTCCTAAAGGTGCTCAGCAGGACACCGTCGAAAAAATGATATGAAAGAAAAACAATCGGCATGATGACGAGCATTGTACTACGGGCAACAAGTCCTGCTGGCAGCCCAAGTTATGAACCTCTGTGCGACAACATAGCAATCCTGCTGACACTATGACGGATGACCCATGGAAGGCAAGATTCAACGCTAGGACTTGGATCCGGCCATGAACAGGACATGTACTTGAGAACCTGTGGCCGGCGGCAAGGCAACTGAAAGCTCTTCAGCACGAACTTTCTGACAATCCCTCCTTGCCTAGAGGGAAGCGCCAAGACACCGAAGCGATCAGGGGCAACGCTTGCGGCTTCATAGCATCAGAAGACTTGCTGCACGGACGAGCTGATTTCAAAAGGGACGCCCGAGCTTAAAACCTGGCCCGTTCCCGCATCAGCCTGTCTTGGGTTGATGCGGTACTTGGCCGAACGGATGTCTCAACAGGATCCTTGATCATGAACTCATTCCGTTTCAACGTCAGCTTACCGTGTTCGTGTGGGCGCCTTTTTGCTGTATTCGAGCATGGCAAGCGTGGCAGGCGGAGCCGGTGCAAGGTAAAACATGCTGCCAAGCTTTGCCCTTGCATAGCTTGCAGCAGTGCGGACGTCAGCGGGAGGGCTGCAGCCTTGGCCCCAAGGCTCCAAAACATGGAACACTGCACTTTCGGAAAAGTCCGAGATCCTACAACAACTCCTCGAGTTGCTCATTGGTCCCGTGCCGACAGTTCTGGGAACGCATGACATCTCAGATGGAGACACCACGAAGGGAAAGAGATGCTCGATGTGAACTTCCAGCTTTGCCTCTCTCGTGCATCGTTCCTGTTGCTAACAGCTTCGAGGGGTTGAAGATTGAAGGGCTTGCTGCGGCCACACCTGCAAATGCAAATGCCGGAGAGCTCAGTACGACGCAGACTTCTGTGGGTGTCCCAGGACTTCCCAAGTGTCAATGGAGGGTCAAGGGCCCAAACGCAGGGGCCCCAGAGAAAAGACAAAGTCTTGGTGCAATCCCTGCCGCCCAAGGCAACGCTGATCGCGGTGCCCACCAAGCAGGTTCAGTAAACGGTGAGCTCCACAGGTGAGCTCCACTGCTCCAGGCTCAAGAGAGATGGACCACACCCGCATTGCATTTGCATTGATACGGGCTGCCGTGAGAATCCCGGCACCACCCCATGTGCGAAAGTTGGTTTCCTGGCTGCCGCCCTCCTGAGCTGGATGATGTTCATCTGGAGGTCCTCCAGGCTCAAAAGTGTCTCTTACAGTTGTACCATCATGCCGGAGCAGCCAGTGCTCCAATCGGCCATGTGGTACTACTGAGCCGACAGGGAGCCCAGTGGGGGAAAGCTCGTACCATGACTTTGATTGCCTCAAGGACGGCTGGCCATCCTCCGGATACATCAAGCTGTCAGGTGACGTCCACACGACTGAGGGAAGGGTTCAGCTGCTGGAGGTCGTTCAAAAGGCTGTTGTCACTGGAAGAGACTGGAATAGGTTAACAGCCATGTGCTTTTGGGTTCAGCATGAGGCGCCACTGCCTCCAAAGACACATCCTTCCGTTGCCAAAGACCGCTGCAGGGCTGCCGCGCTCGGCGGACTGCCCCATCGGGGAGATTGGAGGGCATACGTGCCAACAAAGGGAGAAACAAGAATACCAACTGCGCAAGTTCCAAAGCCAGCAAATCCATGGCAACACGTGCAGGAGCGGTGAAACTGCAGTAGCCGAAATCTTCTCAAGCGGTTGCATGCTGTGCTGAAACCCGGCTGGCACGTAAAAAATGAAGCTCAAAGATCTCTTGTTGGACGTAAGGCACCTGACAATTAAGCTACACGTGTCAGAATGGGCATTTTTTCATGCAGCAGCTGTGGTAGCTGTGGCAGCAGTTCGGCACAGCCGCGACGTCTGCCCGAAGCTGTCCCGGGAAACTGCGCATGAGCTTTGCAAACGCGCAGCACGAGGTGACACATTGCTGATTGCATATGGTCTACTCACACATCTCTGCTCAGCAGAATGGACATTTATTTCATGCATTACCTGTGGTAGCTATGGCAGCTGTCGCATGCTGGGGCAACTGCCCGAGTGCGACACAGCGGGGACCTCCGCCCCAAGTTGTCTTTCCATATTGACAGGGGCTTCAAAACAACCGGGCGACTGCGCATGAGCTTTGCAAACGCACAGCACGAAGTGACACATTGCTGATTGCATATGTCTACCCACACATCTCTGCTCAGCAGAATGGACATCTTTTTCGTGCAGTACCTGTGGTAGCTATTGCAGCTGTGGCATGCTGCTGCCCGAGTGCGACACAGCCCGGACCCCTGTCTTTCATGTTGACAGAGGCTTCAAAAACACCCGGGCGACTGCGCATGAGCTTTGCAGACGCACAGCACGAGGTGACACATTGGATTGCATATGAGGTCTACTCACATCCGTACAGCCATCATCTCTTCGAAAGCTGAATCTCTGTCATCTTCAGCCTGGACCAGGGCTAACACAGCCAGGATTCAAACGACCACGAGGAGGAAGGGGAAGCGGACGAATCAAAAGAGCAGGCATGAATACCAACTACACAGCAACTACAAAGCCACTACATCTCGCTAAAGTAGCGTCCGTGTACAGCCATGGCTGCGGCGACAGGCACAACATGTGCACAAAACATGTTCACGAAAGCAGTCTTCTCGATTGAGTTTACAAGCAGGGCATGCGCTCCCGGAGCTCCCTGGAGTGAAGAAGCAGCAGCAGAGGAAGAAGAAGAAGAAGAAGAAGAGGAAGAGGAAGAAGACGAAGAAGAGGAAGAAGAAGAAGAAGAGCTGCTTTGGTTCTAGTGCTAAGCTTCCACAATGAACCGTATTTTGGCCGGCCCTTGACCTCGACGTGCACTTCCCCCTCTTCTGGCGCTGGCGTCGCGGGAATCTCCTCACTTTCCTGGTGTCGCCTACGGAGCATCAGGTACATTCGGTGAGCCGCGACGGCGCAGACCGTGGCAACAGCTGCCACTGCTGCAGTCACCCCGAGAACCAAGCCAACGTCCGCGGACGAGACATCAGAATCATCAGCCAGGAAGGGCCGGGATGATGTGGTGGATGTGCGGGTCAAGGATGAACTGCTCGTGATCGTCCTTGTTGGCCTCGCGAAAGGGAAATCCCAAAGCCTCGCAAAATCTCGCAAGCCCTGAATCCCCACACTCCCGGCAAAGGCCTTTGAACCCCGTAACCCATCCGCAGTGCCTGCCTAAACCCTCCCCTGAATCACCTGAATCCCTCCCTCACTGCTGCCTGGTACTGGTGGTGGTGCCGGTGGTGGTAACAGTGCTGGTGCCGGTGGTGGTGGTGCCGCTGGTGGTGGTGCCGGTCGTGGTGCCGGTGGTGGTACGGGTGGTGGTAACTGTGGTGGTAACTGTGGCGGTGCCGGTAGTGGTACCGGTGGAGCTGGCAGTGGTGGTGCCGGTGGTGGTACCGCTGGTGGTAACGGTGGTGGTGCGGGTGGTGCTACGGGTGGTGGTAACTGTGGTGCCGGTGGTGGTTGCGGTTGTGGTTACGGTGGTGGTGCCGCTGGTGCTTGTGCTAGTGCCGGTGGTGCGGGTAGAAGTCATGGACGTGGTACTGCTTGTTACACTGCTGCTGCGGCTGCTGCTTGTGGTGCTGGTGACTGAGGTAACAGTGTTGGATGTGCTAGAGGTGGAAACGCTGGTGATGGTGATGGTGGTGGTGCTTGTTCCTGGGTCGATCTGGACTACCGTCAAAGAATCTTCGCTCGAAGACGCAATATAGGCATAGATGTCACTGATGAATACACCTTCTGATCCCCACACTCGCGTCTCAGTGACGAGGTGCTCGCTGGTGGGAGTTGTTGGGTCGACTACGTTAACTACCGCGAAACCCGTGAAGCCCGTAGTCCCAACATAGGCATAGGTACCAGCCTTGGCTATTGACACGGCTCCGGAAATTGCGAGTGAGCCTGCAATGCTTGGGCCCGTTGGGTTCGTGACGTCCACGATCGTCAAGCCGTGTCCAGATGCCGCGACATAGACATAAGTGCCCTCCACGGCTACTCCCATTGCCTGGTCTAACTGGGCGTCTGACACGGAACCTGCCAAGGAGGGAGCCGCTGGGTTTGAAACATCCACGGTGGCCAAAGTTTGAGAGCTGCTGGATGTAACATATGCATAGGTGCCAGCCACAGCGACACCTTTCGCTCCAGACAACGAAGCATGTGTGAGGGAACCTGCGACGCTTGGACTGGCTGGGTTCGCGATGCTCACGACTGTCAGACCGTAGGTTGATGCCGCGATGTAGGCATAGTTGCCTTCAATAAATATGGCATAAGCTCCCCCCAACTCGGCGCCTGTAACTGCACCCGCAATGGTTGGATTGGCGGGGTCTGCGATATTGACGGTCGTCAAACTACCGTACCCCTCGGTTGCAACATAGGCGATGCTGCCAAGCACAGCTACTGCAGATGCTCCATTCAACTGGGCGTCTGCGAGAGAACCTGCGAGGGTTGGACTGGTGGGATCCACGATGTTGACTGTCGTCAGACCATTGTAGAGGGGAGCTGCGAGGTAGGCGTAGTTTCCAAGGACGGCCACACCTCGTGCTCCATCGAACTTTGAAGGAAATGTGAGTTCCATGGCTTGGCCGATCACGTTGGGAGTATATGCGCACGCTTGCGGACTGCGCAAGACCACCAACATCTGGACGAGGCGGCTTGCCATGAGACTCATCTTGACGTCTTCTGACGCTAACCGTTTGTCTCCGAGAAGACGCGAGCTGCAAGGATCTCACGGTGAAGTGAAGAAGGAATCTGTCAGTCAAGCACACAGTTTCGAAAGCATATCGGAACATGTCTGCAGACCAAACTCGCCCTCCAGATGCTTTGACGTTCTGGCGGAATGCATCTGCAACGAAAATCAACTCGCCGATTCTGCACAGCTAAGGACAGAAGCTCACACCCAAAGTACAAACCTGCGAGGACGGGGGGAAAAATAGAAAACTGGCGCCCAGACGCGGCACAGTTCACCTTTCACCTGTCCCAGTGCTTAGGCTTATCTGTGTGCTCGGACACTAGCCGTGGCAACTGTGCAGTCTTGGCTAACCACGATAAAGTTTTTATGGATTGTTTAGGGCTCGTCCTGCATAGTTCGGTTCTCTTTTCAACTGACTCGAGCAGCTTCCAAGAAATGCGAGAAAGCAGAGCTAATGAGGCTTACTGTCTGACATTGCAAGGCTACAAGACAGACAAACGTGAGGACAAGGCTTTGGGGCATTCAAGCATGCCAGACTGAAAGGCTGAGATGGCAGTCTCCATATGGCAGTCTCCATTTGGCTATGCTCATGCTTTGCTAGTTGAATTTGCACGACATAGAGCTATGGGGCCAACCCCTCACTTGTGACTATAAAATCTTCTCACTTGTGACTGTTTTCTTTTTTCACTTGTGACAGTAAAACCCCGCCGCACCACCGGCCACCACAAAAGTAGCGCCGAACTATACGGCAGGGACGACACACTTGACAGCCTGTACAAGCCACCGTGGCCCAAAAGGTAGCGGAAGGCTGGCGCCCCTCTCGCCCAATCGCTCGCGGCGGGCAAGCGCCTACCACCGAGCCGCCTTTCTGGGGGCCGCGTGAAGCCGCCCCGAGCAGCCTGGCATTCACCCACCTAGAGCCTCGCCTCCGCCGCTTCCTCTACCGCAGAGACGTTTTTTTTTATGCAAGCCCAGAAAAATGCACAGGATGCCACCACAGCATCCGACGACTCCAGCCTATACTCGGACTCCTCGCCCGACTCCTCGGGAGAGGAGGTGAGAGCCCCTCCCGCACACCTCACGGCCATCCGCAACGATGTTTCCAGCCTACTCCAGCTTCGGCCCAAGGCCGTCGCGGCAACAGCCCACCAAGCGTAAGGCCCCTCAAGTCCCGCCCCCCCCGCCCAGGCCTGACCGCTCTGCCGAGCGCCCGCCAAAGAAAGGCCGCGGCAAAGGCCAAGGTAAGATCACGAATCTTCCGGCCAACTGGGTCGGCGTGCACAAAGGTCAGCCCATTTGTCGCCGCTACCAAACCGGTCAGTGCAAGCTGCCGGAATGCAAGTTCGCCCACATCTGTGCAGTGCGCGGATGCGCCCAAAAACACCCGGCCGCCGAACACGGCAAAGCCCGCACCTGAAACAGTCCGGATCCTGTCCGCCCAGGGATAGTTCCGGACGAGCGTGCCTGCCTGGGCAATGACCGCCGCGACGGCCCTCCGGCCTTGCCAAGCGCACCACAGGGAAAACCCGCCACGGCTTTCTCTGCACCTAGCACCCCGCCGCAGCCATGCCAGCAAAAGCCCCTCACGGCCTTCTCTTGCGGCCCAGGCCCGGACAGAGCGCGACCGGCACCTTTAGCACCGGCTCCTAGCCAAATCCTGGCCCCTGTCAGCCGCAGCCTAGCCTAGCCTCCCAGAGGCCTTTCACGGTTTCGGCCGAGCCCGCAGTTGTCTGCAAGGCCTCTGACGGCCTTCTCCTCAGCCAGCGCTCTCGACCACAGACTGCCTCCGGGATCAGCTTCCAAGGCTGCACTGCAAGACACGCCCAACCACCCGCCTTTCCGCAACATTGTCTGGAGACGAGAGAAAGCCTCACCGGCCCCCGAGCCGGGCTCCGCAGAGCCACCTACTCCAGAAGCCCCTGCACGCGTGCTCCTGGACCTTTTCGCGGGCAGGCACTCTCCGGTCGCCGTTGCAGCCTTAAAACAGGGCATCCCGCACTGGGAGCCCATAGACGTTGCCATCAACGAGGCCCACAACATACTCTCGGACTCTTTCTTCACACGCTTACTTCGCCTAGCCTGGTCTGGGCGCATAGCCCTCCTGGTTGCGGCCCCGCCTTGCCGCGATTACTCCATTCTCAAACTTGCACCTGGAGGGCCTCCTCCATGCCGCACGCCCGAACACATCAACGGTCTGCCTTCTGACAGCCCCACGCTTGCCCGCCGCGCCGCGGAAAGCCGCCGTATCCACGAAAGATGCCACCAGCTCTGCCGAACGGTGGCAGCCTCGGGGGGCACTTGGGTTCCCCCCTTAAGCATGGCCTGAATGGAGCCCTTATGCCAACAGCTGTTGCGTGCCTTGGCGGCCCACGTCGCCTCCGTCGCTGCCTGCGCTTATGGAGTGACTTGGTCCAAATCCTGGGCCTTCGCGTCCAACAGCCCCCACATTAGAGGGGTGCAGCAAAACTGCACTCATGCCTTCAAGCACCCCTCTCTGCGCAAGAAGCGGGACAACTGGGCAGATACATCAGCTCCAGCACCGCCGAATACCCGGCCGAGCTAGCCTATTCTTACAGTCTTCCGACATCTTTGGCCGAGTTCGACCCCCTTGCCCGCCATCCCCTTGCCCATGGAGCCGACAACGCCCAAACATATGGCTGGCCCTGGACCGCGTGCGCCTGCGTGCAACGGCGCCGGTCTCCAAAGCACAGCCAACTGCTCAAAGCCTGCCCAGCTCATGCCAGCCTTTCATCACTTGTCGACAAACTTGGTGCCTGCAGGCCGACCGCTACAAGCGTATAGCTTCACACATTGCCCAAAGCACGCCGGAACACCCCCTATCGGAAGAGCAACAGCTGGAAATGGCAGCGGCCAGCCTGAATCTTCCACAAATCTGTGCCCACTGGCGTCTCTAAGCCATTGCCAGCAGCCACCAGGCCCGCGGTCGAAGTCCAGCACGCCCAACACCCCACTAGACACTTGCCTCAAGAAGTTCGACAGCAATTGGAAGAACACCGAGGCCCAGATCGAACTCTTGCAACGCCTCATCAAGGAAATGGCCCAGGATCGAAATCCCGGGGGCGAACAAGAAGCCCGCGCCCAGTGGCCCAAAGGCATAGCCATAGCAAGCTTACCAAAGGCAAAGATTCACGGATGGTTCTCGATAGTTCAGTGTGCAATGTAAACCCACGCTGCTTCTTGCCCGAACCGGTTTGCCTGCCTACATCCACCGATATTCGCACCACCTTCAAGCCTCTAGACCCTCCAAACGCCTCGCAGGGCGCCGCGCTCGATTTCAAGGCCGCCCATAAGCGCGTCAAGGTCCGCCAATGGGACCAAGGCCTTCTACTTTTGGCGGGCGCGGGCATCTCAAGCGGTGTTGCAACCGCTTCAGATGCTGTCTCTTTAAGAGAGCGACATCTCAAGCGACAACCACTAAATCAAAAAAAGCAATGCTAACTTTTATGCCCTAATTAAACAAGCCGCTGCCGGACATCCAAAACTTACACTGAAAGGCACGAACCCAATAATGGAGGTCCTGCTCCAAAGCATCAGCTTGCTTTGAAGTGGGTTCAGTAGTGTTGAAGGGCTGCCGCCCTACGTCTCGGCGGAAGCTGGCAAAAAAGCCATCCAGCTTCTGCGTGCCGACGATGCGCGTCTTAACCTCCCAATCGTCATCAATACCCTGCCACACAGGCACGGAAAACGGCTTGGTAAACTCCGGTTTTGGAGCTTTGTGCTTGACATTGGTGTGGGCAAGCTTTAGACCCTTGAGCTTCTTCGCGTTGCAGAAGGAGCCATCGAAAAGGAGGCCATCCTTGACGCCCAGCTGCTTGTACGCACGGGCTGAATCCGTGTGGCAAACACTACCAGCGCCAAGTTGAAAAGGACCATTATTACGACGCAAGACCAACGCCAGCTTCTGCAGGGCATACGACAAAGTAGGTTTGATGTGTACCTTATTGAATGCTTCCAAAAGAAAAATCTTGCTAACGCATCCCTAAACTCTTGAAAGTTTTGGATCGGAAACAGATCTTATCCATTTCCACAAAATCTAGACACTGAAGGTGATGTTGAATCTGCAATTAACAATCAACATTTGACTGCAATCAAAATCTTCAATTTCAATGCAAATGCCAAAAAATTGGGAGCGTTTCTGCATGCCCAACCCCCCTTCTCTTCAGGGTCATTTCCCTTCCTCCCCCACATTAGCTGAAGAGGGCGACTGTTGGAGCCTCCGCCCCTCGCCCTCTCCACCCAATGTGAAGGACAGACACAGATTTTTCAATTTCAAAAACATAAATTTTCAAAAAAAAACACTAAAAACAAAGAAAATCAACCTTGCCCAAGTTGACAAAGACGTCTTGCTTCCAACTTGAACACACAAAAAAAATCAAACACAAAGATTTTGACTCCAAGTTTTCTGGTTAGTTTCAATGTAAATAAGTCCGTTTTTTCCAATTGCCAACAAATTTTTGTATTTTTGTTTAAATGCGCAGTTGAAATTTAGTGTATTTTCAATTTTTATAACCTAGGATTTTGGTGGATTTGCTTTGAAATCCAGTTTTGGTGATTTTCTTAAAACGCTGATTAGTGAAAATCACTTCTGGAAATTCCGTTGTTGACGACCCTGGGCGTGCTTCTTGGTCAACGCTAGCCAAATATTTGAAAGTCGCAGAGCAGTGCGAGCAGCCCAAAAAGCGGCTTGCTCCTGATGCTGGAGTGGGATTGTTGGCGGATAGTGATAGGGAACTTGGATGCCGGCGAATCCCAGTTGTTCGACGATGACGAGTGAAGCGCCCGGGAATCTTGCAAAATGATGTCTTAATGTGTGCTAGGCTTGGAGGCTTTGGGGTTCAGTTTCGGGGTTCGGTGTTGACGTGGGGTACCGGGGAGGCCACGCACAAGCGGACGTGACTTTTGCACACAAAAGCGGACCCAGAATCTGGCCTCGGAACAATTTCCTGCGCAAAGACCCG